GTGTGTGTGTGTGTGTGTGTGTGTGTGTGAACACACTGTATATGCTGTATATATCCCCGTGCACTTTTTCTTCCTTTGGCACCTTCTCCTTCTCTTTGACTATTTGAGCTGATGTAACGAGTCAATTTCCCGACTGTGAGCAATGGCGTAACTATCGGTAAGCAGAGATTGCAATTGCTTAGGGGCCCCGACCTCTTAGGGGTCACTGACACCTGGTTGGCCCCCTACACAATTATGGACCATACATCATACTTCATATGGGGCCCACTCAGATAATATTGCTTATGGGCCTATTGTTGTGTCGTTACGCTATTGACTGTGAGATCAATAAAGTCAATCAATCAATCAAACTGTAATATTAACAGTGAATTCTGGTTTTGTTTATCATAAAATATAAAAATATTACTACCATTTTAGATCTCAATTAAATCTGGGTATCCTCTTTACACTTTTTGCTGCATCCTTATCTTTTCCACAGCATCAATGATTTTCCTTTTAAGGACTGAAATGCTAAAGCTAAGGAAAAACAATTTTATCAGTTCTACTGATTAAAGAAATAGCTTTTTTAATCCATGGCGTTTTATCAATAACATTCTTTTCACTGTGAAAAAGAGATGTATACATTTTCACTTCATCCAAACATTGTCATCATGCAGTATTTCCATCTCTGCAAAAATAAAAGGAAAGTTTTCATCTTCAACATATCGGAACCCCATGGTTGTTTTACAACACTTATAGAAAATGGAAACAGCCAGACATATTTTCATTAAGCATAAATTGCTATCAGCATCACAGCTGACATTATTTGCGGCAGTTCTGTTGGCTTTCAATTCCAACCTTATTCAGCCGCCTCATTATTGATTTCAGGGAATTGATAGTGATGACCTCACAGACTACAGAGAAAATTACAACTGGAGTGGTAAAAAAAAAAAACTGTGTTATTTATGGATGGAGTATGACTTTGATCACTTTGATGATACCATACGGAAGTAAATAAGTTACATGGGGGTTCAAGTGATATCCTTGGCTGCGTTGCCATAGTGACAGTAAAATGGTTGCTTTTTAGTCTGCCCGACAAAGTGCTGTGGAAGACAATGCAGGAGTAGCATATGTGTCTCAGTGACTTTGATTTGTGTGAGTGCAGAACCTGTTTAATGGAAAGCAAGCAAGTTATTGCATAATGGATTTCTGCAGCATCTTATTTTGTTCCAAGAGGTAGTTCCCATTAAAGCATATGTGGACTGAAAATGGGCGAGGAAACACATGCCTGGGCTGGCTAAGTTTAAAAAGCATTAAAAAGGAGGTTATTGAAAGCACTTACAGGGTATGGTGCGTAGGTAGAGGTTGTCTCGTATGATCTGCTGGAGTTTGTGGTCGAGAGAGCCCTTCTGAAACTGCAGACTGAGGTAGTGGCGCAGGTCTGTGTTCAACACTTTACCTGCAAAAACAGAGAAGAGAGCGGGGAAGGTCAGCAAAACATGTCTGCACTTTGTTTAAGAAACAGAGTTTATCTGTGTGTTATGTAGTAATACAAGGTAAACATCTCTGTTCAGCATACATACATACAGTACAAACAACAATGGGCCAAAATTGCAGCAAGGTATTATGAGAAGTCTGTTGAAGGATACAAGAAATGTCTGATGCAAGTCGAAAAGGTATGGGAATCTATGTAAGTCACCCTAATGGACATAAATCAGTAAAGTTTGACACTTAGTGAAAAACGGACACATTTCAGGATTTATTTTTAATTAAGAATATAAATATCAGAAAATGCAATGTTCTACTGCATTTTGCACCATATTTATTTATTTGTATGGCACTGAACCTTTTCATATTAATGCCTTTTGCACCATGACTTTAAACTGGTTTTCCTTTTCTGCTACACTGTTTACATTCTGATCACTGCTGCACTTAATAAATGGAAATGTCCATTTCACTGTTGTAAGCTGCTCATTCACTGTAGAAAAGCTGAATGAATTGAAATTTTGTTTTGTACAAACTCTGTGTATACAAGATGACAATAAAGTTAGTCCAAGTCATCTAGTCTTAGTTGCGTTCAGTACAGTTTTTTTTCTGCTTATTTAAATATTTGTATATATTATAACTTTGTGCAGGATTAATATAAGATGAGTTTTAGCAACAAAACTAATTTTATAAAGGGACGATGTAACATTTACATCCTCAAATTGGTGTTAAAAAATTTAACATCAGCAATCCAGTACTCAGCATTTTGTTTTGGGTTCGTTCTTACTTTTTTTCTGATTACATGACTTTGGAATATTAACATGCAGCTCCTGGATTAAATAGAGACTGAGTGACAAAACAGTCTCAGCGGGAATTTGGATAAACTCCAACTCCACAGAGGAACAAACAAATTAGGAAGCTATTTTAAGTTCCTGAACAAATCTCTTTCTTTCTGTCCTGACTTCTGACCAGCTTTCCTCTCAATTTTGGTTTAAATCTTTTCCAGTTCAGTTTAATATTTCAGTCACAGGAGGAAAGCGTAGTAGGGGGTGGAAGTCAAAAGGTAAGACTAATGGTTTAAAGTCCTTTATTAGACCTTTAAAAAAAACCTAAAAATAAAAAATAAAATTAAACTGAAAGAGATTAGATTGTGACACTTCACCAATAAAATTTAAATACTATTGTACAACCAGGTGCTTATATTGTTCAGAAAATGCATTGAAGATTGTTTTGCTTCCACATATAAAAAGAGCAAAGTGGTCTGAGCTGACTTTATTCCCTCTCTGCCTTCTTTCATGTTACACAGCAAATCTAAACCCCCAACTCTGTTAATGGATCCTGAGTTCATACTCCTTCATGATCCCATATAAGCCTAAAAAAGAGGAAAACACGTACTCCTAACATGCACAAACCCAGAACCGAGGGAGGGACTAGAGGTTTCCATGCAAAAATAAAAAGAAACCTTAAACGGATCTGCATCTGCTTTTAACTCCCAGAAGTCTTTGTAAAAACAAAGGAATTCATGCAAAGTTTGACGCAGAGGGAGATTGTTAGAGCTGTCAAACACAAGTTGGAAGAAAAAGATTATCTACTGAAGAAGATGAGGAGTTTGGAAAACAGATCTTCATTTTCTGCCTGCCATACGCTTCCTCATCTCTAGTCTGAATAACAAGAGGGAGCTTTGTGAAAGATTGACGAAGGTCGAAGATTTCATCTCACTCTCATCATCTTTGCAGTAAGAACAAACTGCCAAACAAAACTCTGTTTCAGTAACGGTATCCACTTCTGAAAAAGGAGACATGTACATGATTAACTGATCACAAAAGGAATGAGAGACAAAAATCAACTCAATAGAATTTTCTCCTAAAAATATAAGCCCTCCCTTTACTTTTGGAGCCAGAAGGTATCCTCTATTTAGACATCTCAATGCCCCTCTATGTTTTGGGTGGATCAATAAAACTGATTAACCTATTTTTCTATTATTGTAATTGCTGGTCCTCTAAAGAAAACTACATACATTCATAGCTATCATATAGAGCTCAGGGTAAAAAAAAGATGAATCCTTTTAAAACCGCTTCTGTTTCAGTTCAAGTTGGCGTGAGCGCAGCACATATTGGGTGATTAAAAAACTATTGCCATTTATCTATTCTCACAGTTGGGTTGGGAGCTGGGTCTATACTAATGATGACTTTCACCTTAATATTTTAGTGCGGATGTGTATGTGGGGGCGTGAACGAATCAGTCTTTCAACCTGTGTAGGCCTACTGTGAAATTACCACATCGAATGTGACGTGCTGACAACAATGCAGCTATAAAGCCGCTGGGTTTGCTTCAGGGAAAATTTTAATTTTAAGAAACTTCCCAATGGAAATCTCAACAAGACTCAAGCTGTTTGCACCTCGTGCAATGTAGAATTAGTTTACTGCAGGAATCCTTCCAGTCTCAAGTAACACCTAAACGCAAATACATCCCTTAACCAATACAAAAGATGGTGGGCCAAGCACTGATGTAGTGCAGGAGTTGTTTTAATAAAACTATAATGTTTGAGTGTAACTGAGGCAAGCCCATTAGCAGAGCTCTATCAGGCAAGCTAACCAATCTCCTCACCCAGTAGATAGCCACAAGCCTCAAGCGACCTGGATCAGATCTTTTCATGGCCGTCTGAACAACACAGATCCGATTTTTAATCCGACCCAGGCCACTTGGCTCTGTGGCCCTGAATCAGATATGAATCTGATCTTTTCAAATGCGACCTGTGTCTGAACGGCCAGGTCGGATGAATCCGACCTGAACGTCATTAATACCTAACAAAGGTCCTTATTCTGCATCTTGCTACGCAGAAGTGGCATGAAAAGCAACAACCATGGCAGATTATGATGCGGAGAGCAGTATTTATGTTTAACTATATTGAAAAGATTTTTTATGGTTGGAAAAGACCACTAGATACGGGGCAGTACTACCATCCATGCTTAGTTCCGTAAACATAGAGCATGCTGACCTGTGACATCATTGCGTCCTCTACTGCGCATGCAGGACACTTGTGTTGTATGACTGCAGTTTACACAGGAGATCACATACAAGTCGCATATAGTTGGAAATATGAACGGCAACGGAAAAAAAACCCAAAACGGATTTCACAAAAAAAATCAGAATTGAGCATCAAGGCCTGCAGTGTGAACGTAGCCAGAGTGGCTGATGGGCTCGAGCTTGTTCTCCAGGCGGCAACAGGTGACCCATCTTACAAACTACCTGCAGCGTGAACTATCATGAGGAGAATTCATGACCAGCACGCCGTGGAGAAAGCCACAAAAGATAAGAATCTGGTAGAGTTGACTGTTCAGCACTGACAGTTGACCACAGGACATCTGTGAATAACGATAACCAACTGGGAACTTCACTCCTTTGCTTAAGGTAGGTGATGTTATGCAATTTCAAATATCATTTTACCATGACACCACGAATAATTACTGCAACATTATGTGTGTTTCTTAATGATTTCTTTGGTTAATATGGGTAAAGTGGGAGACTTTTTGAAAATGTAGCTTTGGTGGTATTTGTTTAGCCCATTTCATTGCAAGCTCTAGAGTCATGGTACATTTTTAAAAACCTCGGGATCTTCACATCACAATAGACATTCTAAACACAGATTTTAGTTTTATCTTCAAACATTGTTGCCCCAAAGTCGCTTTTTTGGAGACACCACAGTATATTGTTAAAGTGGGACATCTATAATTAGAAGTGGGACACTATTTTTGCAGCAAAAACACAGTAACAAATGAGCCAAAAAAAATGAACTTTGTCAAAGTCTTAAGTAAGATGATGAAATTACGTGTGAATTTGCAAACATAAAAAAAGTAAACCTGATATGCAATATTCTGGAGGTAGCACACACATATGAATGCCTTTGGCAGAATTCAAATGAGCAATTTTAATCTAGATTAATTTCAAGATTACAGTGAGATGAATCTAGATCAAAACAATGAATCTATGCCCACCACTAAAAAAAATAAAATAAAAAAAAGGACTCTTGTTTTATCTTGACTTGTAGATTTACTCGAGTAACTTAACCACTGATATAAACGCTGTAACGACTGCTATGCTTTTTCAAATTTGAGAGTCAACATTTAAACCGTTAATCTGTTAGGGTTACTATAATAACTTCTGATCTATTCTTACTGAGTTTCTCTAAGTATTGCTGCCTGTATAGCACTTCTGGATAGATGCTAACTGCATTTCGTTGCTTGTACTTGTGACAGTGCAATGACAATAAAGTTGAATTCTATTCTATTCTATTCTATTCATATATCCCTGTTCTTTTCCACCTTAAATAAAAATACTTATTTTGTAGCTCTTTCCCTTCTCTGACAAATAAAGCTAAAAATCCTGACCTAGCCTAAATACATTGATAAGGTAGTATTTTGAAGCATGCTAAATATAAAGACCTGACTTGCATCTATTTTTAATTAATTTTAATTTCTTAGTGTGCAGAATTTATATTTTCTAAATATATGGATTAAGGGTTATATACGTATGGATTAAGAAGTAGCATTTATTTCCTATGCTCCAATTACCTGGAACAAATTCCCATAAGACTAGAAAAAAAAAGTCAAAAAACAATTATTAAAACTTCCTTTGACTGTTGAAGTGAAACTGTTAACTTAGGTGTTATTAGTTTAAGGTTGTGGTCCAACTGTTTTATTTGTTTTACTACCCATTTTTATTGAGTTCATGTCACACTTTGAATTCTCTTGTACCAAATTGAACTATACAAATAAACTGTCCTTGTCTTGCCTTATAGGCTTATAGAAATAATCTTTGATAAAAAAAAAGAAGGATTTCTCTGGAAAGTAAAATTGTGCCCACCACACCGTATTGTACACCATATGCAGCAGCAGGACAGAAAGTGGTAATAGTCAACCAGAAGGCCAATTAAAAAAATATATGCATGAAAAGTGACAAACACTCAAATCCGAC